AGAAAATATTTAAACACAAAATTAACATGAAGCTCACATCTTTTATTTCATGGGACTTAAATATACACTGAAATGCTCTGCTGAACAAAGATGCTTTCCAGACTCAGAGACTTAGTAGGCAATATGTAACAATAAAATGTCTAATCTTTTGAAAAAGAAAGAACACAACCCCAACACACATGCAACATAGTGGCTTGGGGCTTTTTTAAAAATCTAATCAATTTACTAATATGAAATTTAGAAAATAGCAAAAACCCCACACATAACACTATACACCAGAACATCTATGTATAGAACATGCCATGTTGTTTCCCAAAAAGTGTCATGTTGCATTATGGTGTGATTCTGAAAAATTAAATCTACAGAATGCAAGCCAATGTTGTAAAGTAGAAGAGCTCTTGTAGTGTTTTCCCACAGTAAGCATTATCTTGCTCTTTGGTAAAGTAATTATCTTGCTCTTTGGTAAACAGGATTTTTAGCACTGACTTCATTATGAGCCAAGTTCTCTTTTGCTTACCTCCATGGGATAAATAGAGGTCTGTGCTGTTGCCCCAGCTAAAGAACCAGATACAAATCTTTCAATGGTTCCAACCTTTCCATCTTCATTAGCAAATATCTTCTTATACTGTGTAGGTAAAATACATAATGACAAATATATCACACATCTTTCTGAAGCAGGTGAAACCCATCAGCAGAAGCCTGAATATGACATAGATGGTTTTCACAAGAAGTGTGCATTATAGATTTCCAATTAACACAACTTAATATTTATAATACAGTTCTATGTGTAAAGACTTACAAAATCACAGATCTTCCAGCCTGTGAAAGTCCTTTACATTTGGTCCTACTAAGCGGGACTAATTCTGCCCATACTTTAGTTGCAGTGGGAGAGGTCTAGGTTGGATATTAGGAAAAACTATTTCACTAGGAGGGTAAGGAAGCACTGGAATGGGTTACCTACGGAGGCAGTAGAATCTCTATCCCTAGAGGTTTCTAAGCCCCAGCTTGACAAAGCCCTGGCTAGGATGATTTAGCTATAGCTGGTCCTGCTTTGGGCCGGGAGCTGAACTTGATGACCTCCTGAGGTCTCTTTCAGCCCTATGATTCTATAGTGGCACAGGTGTACTACTAAAGTGAAGGTTGCACCAAGACACCGGTTAAAAGTCAACCATTCTAAATCCTCTAAAACTGACTTGGTTAGTCTTTGAAACTTGGTATCCCATAAGAAGGTAAAGGGAAAGATTAGTGACCCAAATTTAGAATAATTTGTTTTGGGGTTCTGGACACTGAAGACGGGGAAGAGAAACTTTCTAGGTGATAGGATGACTGTTGCGGAGATCTAGAGCTCAAGCTTGTGATGTGGGTCAAAATAGTCTTAATCTCTCAAATTTTAAACAAGGGATGTAAGCAACTAGTTGACTATCCGATACGCAAAAGCTTACTGGATAGTCAAGGGACTAGTCAACTAGTCGCTTCCCACCCTTGCTGCCTCTATCAGAGCCTAGAGCTAGCAGGAGGGACCCAGCACGAGCTGGGAATCATCTGTCCCAGCTCGCACTAGGTCCCTTCTGCTGTGCTTTAGCCTTTTAAATGGATTAAGAGTGAGGTACTAACCCCGCTGCGGCTCCCCACGTATCGACTAGTCAATGGAAAATGCATGCTTAAAAGCTGAGGTGCAGGGGTGGCAGGGGAGTAGCGGGGACTGGACACTAGTCCCAGGCGCACCTCTGCTTTTTAAATGGATTAAGAGTGAAGTACTAACCCTGCTGCGGCTCCCTACGTATCGACTAGTCAGTGGAAAATCTATTGATTAGCTGATCGAGGTAGAAGCAGCAAGGTTAAAAGCTGAAGTGCAGGGGAAGCAGGGGAGTAGCAGGGACTGGACACTAGTCCCAGGCGCACCTCTGCTTTTTAAATGGATTAAGAGCCAAAAGGATCTTAATCCATTTAAAAGGCTAAAGCACAGGAGGGACCTAAGGCAAGCCATGAATCAGCTGTCCCAGCTCATGCTGGGTCCCTCCTGCTGGGTTTTAGTCTTTTAAGTGGATTAAGTCAGCTCTTAATCCATTTAAAAGGCAGAACCTCAGTGGGGTTAGCTCCTGCTGTGGCTCCCCACTTATCAACTAACACCTAAGTCGATGGCAAATCCATCTACTAGTCGATTAGACGATTAAACTTAATTTAACATCTCTATTTTACACAAGATTGTACTTTGCACACACTAAATCTCTGAGGGACCCAAAGTGAGAAAATGTACATTTTTACAATGCATATATCCCAATACAGAAAAGCAGCTAGAGGATTTTTCTTTCCCACCATTTTATATGTTTTCAAGTTAAAATTTTCTAAGTGCTCTAAAATTCAAATGGCTAGTTGGATTGCTCTGAAATTTAGTGTCCCTCATGAGAGCACAGTGTAGAGTTAGAGATTCAAATCTGGGGTCATTTGGCAAAGAGATTTCAAGGGTAGATGTCCTCTTTAAAAAAAAATTCCTTTTACTGCTTTGTACTATTAAACTGAAAGGTACTAACCTCTGGATGAATCAGAGCTCACTGTGTTTGACTGCTACAAAATCGTTCTTCAATTAACGTAACTAAGAATAAGGTCATCACAAGCACCCATAGAACACAAACGAATTTTGTATGAAATGGATGGAGGACAGTTTTATTTGGAGGAAATTATAATCAAAATATGGAGAGGGGAATTAGACATGTGAATGCTTAAGAACATACGGACAGCCATACTGGGTCGTAGCAAATACCCATCCAGTTCATTATACTATCTTTCAACAGAGGCCAATGCCAGGTTCTTCTGAGGCAATGAACAGAACAGGTATACATGAAGTGATTCATCCTGTCGCCCATTCCCAGCTTCTGGTAAGCAGAGATTAGGGACCCCATCCCTGCCCATCCTGGCTAATAGCCATTGAAGGACCTATCCTCCATGAACTTATCTAGGAAAGGAGAGCATTAGGGAGAGAAGAAGGGCACAGTCAAAGAATGGATGCTTAACTCTTCATTTCCTGTTTTTCAGAATTTTCTGTTTTGATTCACTCAACATTCTGCAAGGGGGCATCACATCACTAAGCAACCCTAATTCTGCAGTAATGTCATTTTTAAAGTCACTGAATACCAACATGATTGTGCTTTTTTAACGGAGCAGAAACCTACAATCCTTGCGCACCCAGAACTTCAATATAAGTGAATGAGTACTTAAGGAAAGGAGGATTCAGTCTTATGCGCACCATACCACTTGCTGTAGGCAGCCAAATACAGGGTACGTCTAGACTACATGCCTCTGTCGCCAGAGGCATGTAGATTAGGCTACCAGACATAGTAAAATGAAGCGTCGATTTAAATAATCGCCGCTTCATTTAAATTTACATGGCTGCCGCGCTGAGCCGACAAACAGCTGATCAGCTGTTTGTCGTGGTTGGTCAACAAATACCTTTGATGTCGACATCTGCGCGTCCAGACTATCGCGCTGAGCCTACAAACAGCTGATCAGCTGTTTGTCGGCTCAGCG